ACTCAACATTCATGTATCTAATCGGTAATTTAAAACAATTACTACTTAAATCTTTCCTCTTTCTTCCTTAACTCATAAGACTCTCTCTTCTTCCCCTTTCTTTCTAAATCTCCAGTCTTCACCAATAAAAAAAAGCATCTTGCATTGAGTGAGATCTTCGTTTCGGATCTCTCTGTAATCTAGGGTTTTGGGTCTTCAAGTAGAAAACCCTTGAATCCGTTTTTTTTTTCTCAATCGATTTGGGTTTAGGGTTAAGTTCACCATGAATCAGGAGAAGCTAGGGTTTTTCACTCTCTCGTTTCTTCTGATCTTGACTCTAGCTCTGGGTAGATTCGTTGTGGAGAAGAACAATCTCAAAGTCACATCACCAGACTCGATCAAAGGTATTTACGAATGTGCCATTGGGAATTTCGGAGTTCCTCAATACGGTGGTACATTAGTCGGAACCGTCGTGTATCCCAAATCGAATCAGAAAGCTTGTAAAAGCTACAGCGATTTCGATATCTCCTTCAAATCCAAGCCTGGACAAAAACCCACTTTTGTCCTTATCGATCGTGGAGGTTCGATTTCAGTATCTCTCAATTAGGTTATGAATCCGAGAAAGATCTGTTTTTTATTCAATTTTGGGAACTGAATTTGTGTTTTTGTGTGTGAATACAGATTGTTTCTTCACTTTGAAAGCATGGATAGCTCAACAAGCTGGAGCAGCAGCGATACTTGTAGCTGATAATAAAGCTGAGCCATTGATTACAATGGATACACCTGAAGAAGATAAATCCGATGCGGATTATCTTCAAAACATTACCATTCCTTCAGCTCTCATCACCAAATCATTGGGAGACAGTATAAAGTCTGCGCTTTCTGGTGGCGACATGGTTAACATGAAGCTAGACTGGACTGAGTCTGTTCCGCATCCCGATGAGCGTGTCGAATACGAGCTCTGGACTAACAGCAATGACGTGTGTGGGAAGAAGTGTGATACTCAGATTGATTTCCTCAAGAATTTCAAAGGAGCTGCTCAGATTCTTGAGAAAGGAGGGCATACTCAGTTCACACCACATTACATCACCTGGTACTGCCCTGAAGCTTTTACGCTGAGTAAACAGTGCAAGTCTCAGTGTATCAACCATGGAAGGTACTGTGCGCCTGATCCTGAGCAGGATTTTACTAAAGGGTATGATGGGAAGGATGTTGTCGTTCAGAATCTACGACAGGCTTGCGTCTATAGAGTGTTGAATGAGACCGGTAAGCCATGGATCTGGTGGGACTATGTGACTGATTTCGCCATCCGGTGTCCAATGAAGGATAAGAAGTACACCAAGGAGTGTGCTGACGAAATCATTAAGTCCCTTGGTGAGTATAGTGCGTCATTAGCCTTTGCTACTGTGATTATTTAATTTCCCCGTTTGTGTACACTCATGTTTTGACACTCCTGTGAATAACTGCAAATCAAATGTGGCTGGTAGATAGTATTTTCTGATATGAGCTCATCTTTGATATAAAACAACCAACTGATTGATAGCAATCAGTTTACCTTATAAGGCTGTTGAAGCCTAATATTGACCAGTTGGATCTTTTGTTAGTTTCGAGTTTGTGTATTTTATTCTAAATTTTCTGACTATCAGCTCGTAACAGCTAATTCTGAATTTTCTTTCTGTTATATGCATTCAGGCATTGATCTCAAGAAGGTGGACAAGTGTATCGGAGACCCTGATGCAGATGTGGAAAACCCTATTCTTAAAGCAGAACAGGAGTCTCAGGTTTGTTCTTTTTGTAACTCATTGGCTCTACTCTTCTCTTCTAGATCTCCTGTTTTCGATTTGCTATATATTCTCTACTCCTATTTTGTGTTCCTGAAATAAGTCCATTTCAGATAGGGAAAGGTTCTCGTGGTGACGTGACTATACTCCCAACTCTTGTTGTGAACAACAGACAATACAGAGGTATTGGAGAAATGCTGACTTCTCAGTTTTTTCTCCCTTTGTACAGCATCACACTTTCTCTTTGGCTAACTCATATATCTTTCATGGTCGAAGGTAAATTGGAAAAAGGGGCAGTGCTGAAAGCTATGTGTTCAGGTTTTCAAGAATCAACAGAACCAGCCATATGTCTGACTGAAGGTTTTATTCTCCTCGACATTCACAGCCCTCTATAAAATTTTCAGTATTCAGATTTTTCTTGATGGGCATAGATATTAATTTTTTTGTGACTTCATAACTTCCATCAGAGTTGTCTTTAATTATTTTATTTAGAGTTTTATACCACCGTGGGCGGGCATTGTCTTAAGATACGTTCTGGTTTTTGCAGATTTAGAAACTAATGAATGTTTGGAAAACAACGGTGGGTGCTGGCAAGACAAAGCTGCAAACATAACTGCATGCCGGGTATCATTTGGCCTTGCTATTGTTTTTCCTTCTCTGTTTTTGATTTCTTGTTGCTACTAAGACTGATTATTTTTTTATCTGAATCGGCACTTTAGGATACTTTTAGGGGAAGATTGTGCGAGTGCCCTACTGTTCAAGGTGTTAAATTTGCTGGTGACGGTTACACTCACTGCAGAGGTAAATTAGTCTTTCTCCCTGTAGCTTGACATCTTTTGTGTGGAGCAGGATACAGATAAATGGTATCGCCTCTAGCTTTGTTAGTCTATTTCACAAGTGTTTTGTTACTAGTAGATTTTTTAAAGGGATTGGAGATATGACTAGACTAATCAAGCAATACTGTAATTCTTCCCTTGTGGCTATTTTCTAGGAATCAAATTAGAGAGACTATTTCTCAATTTGTACCACCTGCTACTATGGTACCAAGATTGAAAAAGTAACTTGTCACAAGTCACTTATTGTAAAAACTTTTAATTTGAATGAAATTCAACCATATAACGGACCAGAAAAGTGAAGATTTTTTTTTTGCTTGCTGTGAAAAGCAATGTTCTAAATTGTTTCCAGTGCCTTCTTACAGATTTTGCCCTTTTAGTAAAGCAGAAGTTGTCCCACTATAAAAAATTAAGATGATTTTTTTTGTCTCTGTATGTACACTTGGCAGCCTCTGGAGCTTTGCATTGTGGTATCAACAATGGAGGATGCTGGAGAGAAACCCGAGGCAGCTACACTTACTCTGCTTGCGTAGTGAGTATTTCGTCTTCTATGTCAATGTCTAATTTTTGAACAATCATTTCTTAACCTAAAGTAAAACTATTTTGGTTCTTCTTGAATTGGAAGTTTCAGGATGATCATTCAAATGGTTGCAAATGCCCACATGGGTTCAAGGGCGATGGAGTAAAGAGCTGTGAAGGTACGTGTCAAGGAATATTTTCTAGCATCTATATACATGCGGTCTACTTGCATATAGGACTAGTCATGTGTACTGAAGTACTATTAGAAAACATATACATTATATTGAGTCTAGTGCTATGTAATGCAGTCTAGTTTTTTGTTATTTATAAAATCTTGAAAAACATCGAATTCAAATTCATAATCATATTCTTTTTGCTGAATGTGTTAGATGTGGACGAGTGCAAAGAAAAAAAGGTTTGCCAGTGCCCGGAGTGTAAATGTAAAAACACATGGGGAAGTTATGAATGCAGCTGCAACAATGGTTTGCTTTACATGCGTGAACATGACACTTGCATAGGTAAAAAGAAGAGATCTTACTTCCTCTAAATCACATACTGAATTTGGACACTCAAGTAATGATCCTGTTTTATGCTTTTTGAATCTGGTGAATCCGTAGGTTCAGGCAAAGTTGGAACTACAAAACTCAGCTGGAGCTTTTTGTGGATTCTTATCATTGGAGTTGGTGTTGCAGGCCTTTCTGGATATGCGGTCTACAAATACAGGATCAGGGTATGTTGTTCTTGTTATCGTAATGAATATATGAAGCTTTTGACATCTAAACAGATGTTTAAGT